AATTCTTGCTGTATTGGAACATTCTTGTAGAATGGAGTATTCTACTTGGGGAATGGGTAATTAAATTGTTTCTAGCGAAAGAGATCAATGAAATGCTACATTGAAAAATCAGTGAACTGTCTCAGGTGTGGCTTTTAGTAGGCAGAGGAGAGGAAACTCATATCCTAAGAGAGTCTGCTCATATAACCTGAAGAGTTCTACCTTCAGATAGAATTGTCTTTGGTGGCTCATGTTCCACCTCAGTTTATAGGTTTGTATTATAACAGCCATGTTTGTTATAATACAGAAATAATAGTGGATTTTTGGTTTATTTTCAAAACCAAATATTCACGCACTAGAGACACTCCTGGAAGCAGCCCTCGGCTCCTCCTGTGGCCTCTCATCCCCAGGGCAGTGAGGTGCAGGGGCTGGGCAACCCCAGCTTGTCAGGCAGCCAGCAGGAGATACCTCTAATGTACAGAGTAGGGATTGCAATCTTAATTTCATTTTAAAATGAAATATTTATTACATTTTAACTCAAAGAAATTCAAAATGCAAACAATAAATGGCTGAACATCTCCCTGGCCAGATAACCCTTGTGACATATAGAAAAATAACATGTTAGAAACAAAAGCCCAACAGGACAGAAAACAAAATGAAAAATAAAAAGGACCTTTGCTCAATCCCATTCAAGAAATGTAACCATAGTTAGGAGGGTTTTTAAAAAATATATATTTTATTGATTTTTTGCAGAGAGGAAGGGAGAGGGATAGAGAGTTAGAAACATCGATGAGAGAGAAACATCGATCAGCTGCCTCCTGCACACCCCCTACTAGGGATGTGCCCGCAACCAAGGTACATGCCCTTGACTGGAATCGAACCTGGGACCCTTCAGTCTGCAGGCTGATGCTCTATCCACTGAGCCAAACCGGTTAGGGCTTGGAGGGTTTTTTTTTATCCCTTTTAGAAAAATGATGTTTTCTTACACACACCTGTGTATATGTATGTGTGTGTGTGTAAATGTTTACACAATAGGAATATGATGTCGTGATTTATAATCAGAAATACATATTTGGTCTTCATCCCAGTTCCTGGCATAGAGCTCCTAAAACCCTTGGAATTTCCTAAGGGAAGACAGCAGGCAATGGTGTTTATTGTTGTTAATTGGGTGATTTGGGGGAAGCCCCTAGCTCACCTAAGGATAGGACTGTTTGCAAGGGGAACTAACCTGGGATTAGAGGTTTGGAACTTTTCCTTTGACTCCCAGGACTCTGGGGAGTAGAAAAGGGCTAGAGATGGGGTTCAGTCACCAATGGCCAATGACTTCATCAGCCAGGTCTTTGTAATGAAACCCCAGAGGGAAGGGTTCCAAGAGCTTCCAGGTTGGTGAACACTTGCAGGTGCTGAGTGTGGTGCACTCAGAGAGGGCATGAGTGCTCTGTGCCCTTCCCCATGCCTTGCCCTGTGCCTCTCTCCCATCTGGCTTCTCGTGCGTTACATAAAGCAGTAATCTAGTGAGGAAGCTGGTTTCCTGAGTTCTGTGAGCTGCTCTGGCAAATTAATCAAACTCAAGGAGGGGTTGTGGGAACCTTGATTTATAGCCAGTTGGCCAGAAGCACAGGTGACAACTTAGACTTGTGATTGACATCCAAAATGGGGGCACTCTTATGGGACTGAGCCCTTAACCTGTGGGAGCTGACACTAGTTTCAGGTAGATAGTAGCACATTGCATTGACTTGTAGCACACCTAGCTGATGTCTGAGAATTGCTTTGTGGTGTGGACAAAACTATATTGAAGAAATTACACACACTGTTTTGAAACTTATTTTTCCACTTTAAATATCACTGTGCTTTCATATCAGTATAGGCCAGTGATGGCGAACCTTTTGAGTTCGGCGTGTCAGCATTTTGAAAAACCCTAACTTAACTCTGGTGCCGTGTCACATATAGAAATTTTTTGATATTTGCAACCATAGTAAAACAAAGACTTATATTTTTGATATTTATTTTATATATTTAAATGCCATTTAACAAAAAAAAATCAACCAAAAAAATGAGTTCACATGTCACCTCTGACATGCGTGTCATAGGTTCGCCATCACTGGTATAGGCAAATCATCCTCTTAGCTGCAGAATATTCCCTGGTAATGTAGATTTTTTAACTAACTATTGTTTTATAGCAGTGGTAGATTTTAAAACATTATTTATGTTACGCATATTTATGTAACTCTATCATAATAGGAAGGTAACAGGAAGCAAAATAGGATGTCAAAGAGATGCTTATGTTGGGTGGGAGACTGAAGTCTGTCATTGCTGTTGCTTGGTTGTAGCCTGGTCAGATTCAGTCTTGTGTCTTCCAGTCCTTGGATTCTGCCAGACACATGGAGTAACTTGGTACAAGAGGTAGACTTGGAATGTTTCTGGGAATTCTACTTATTTCAGCAATCCATAGCAAACATGTAGGAGCTTAGGATGAGCTTCAGCAGATTTCTTCCTTAGAAGACTTCAGTCTGTAGTGGGGCAGGAAGGCAGGGGGGTAGGTCATTTCATTGTGTGGCAGGTGCCATGGCAGAGCTATGCTCAGGATGTTGTGGCAGCAGGCATGGGACATGTGTGTGCTGGAGGAGATGATTGCAATCTTCTTGGAAGGACAATGGCCAAGCTGAGTTGCTAAGATCAGTAGTAGAGAAAGGAGAAAGACACTTCAGGCCAGGGAAGAAAGAGGTAAGAAGACACATGATGAGTTCTGGGAATCATAAGTAGTTTAGTGTTGTAAGGATATAAAATTTGAGGCAGGAAATGAGATCTCTCTCCAGATGGAAACCTGTTTATGGAGAGTCTTGTATATGATACTAAACAGCTTGGTATTCCTCACTAAGTCAAAAGATGCACGTCCCTTATACATCAATTAAATACTCTGAATATTTATCACTTCAGAACCCTGGAAAACGTAATTCCTTTATATGCTACAAATGCAGGATTGAGCCAACTATTAGCTTAATTATTTATTAATATTGAGCCCTACATTCTTGGGTTAGTGTTTGATTTTACATGATTCTTCAGAGTACCCAAAGCTTTTCACCAGTGACTGCTTGAGCTCAATGCCTGGGAGGACCGAGTGGTAGTGTAGGTGAGTGAGTTCAAATCCATTACTTCTGTCAGAAAAGCAACTAGGAATAAGTGAGCCTGCAGCATCTTTGAGTATCTAAGATATCTCGTCACTGTCATCACAGTCATTTTATAAAATGCAGGGAGACAGCCAATCATATGAAATACATTTCTTGTGTTTGGGTTTAAAAAGAGAACTGGATGGAATGTGAGTATGGCGATTTGAATAGTAATTGACATTTATTTTACTTGACTTCCGAGCCTTGGTACTTCTAACCATCCATGTTTTGTTTTGTTTGTTCGTTTTTAATGCTAGACAAAACCGTCAGCTAGTTTAAGGTTGGGGAAAGGCACTGGAAAGGAGCAAGTTTGGAAGAGAGGAGCTCAAAGGGGAAGGCCTCATTCTTTACTAAAAATAGAGATCAATCCATTTTAAGCCCAACATAGTACCTGGAAATAAACATTGTTTGTGGGGGAGGTGCATTTTTGTAGAAAAGAAGGTGGAGTTCCTTGTTGATCTCACCACAGCTCATTTCTTTCTACCGTTTTACTTCTTTTCCTCCCCCCACATCAAACTTTTTTCCTGAATCACCCATAACGGAACTCCAGGAAGATACATGTATGTTGCTCTAGTTTACCGTTGCCCCCTGCACTGTTTTATTTAGCCGAACCTTTGTTTCTTCCACTGCTCCCTGCACAACATGGAACACCATATGCCATTGTCCCTGTCATGAAGCAGAGGGTTCCCTGGTCTGTGCCTATGCCTATGTTTATGCCACAGAGGAGGTGTGGTTCAGTGCCATCTTTTATTGATGGGGCCAGCAAAGGAGAAATCTAATGAAATTATCAAAGCTTTGAATTAATTATGAACTTGAACAGGAGCGCTAAGCTCTGTGGAGCCAAGGATCTCATTACCCATGCACTCTCATCGCCTCCTCCTCTGGAGCAGAAGGCATGTCGGCTGCAGCTCCTACCTAGCTCCTGGCTCTGGACTTTGTTCAAACTTGCTAAACTGGCATCGTCTTCTTACTACGAAGTGGCTGCAAATGTCCATGATGATTAACATAATTCTGCTCTGGATCTTCAGGAAATGTCAATAGGTTTCTCTACCCCTCCTTTTTCCTTTTATTTTCTTTCTTTCTCCTTTCTTTCATCAAATTGGATGTTATACAAGTTCCTATCCTTTTTGAATAATAGGAGAAGCTTTTAGGATTCAGGTGTAGCTTCAAGGAATACAGTGGTTGATTTAAAGTTAAGAGCTGTGTTACATCTACTGTGTATTCCCTGGATAATTAGGTAAGCAAAGTCAAATATTTCTTCTTTAAATTTTGAACACCCAATAGAAGTTTTTCTTGCTTATTTCTACCTTAGAATTAATGGAACCGCAATAACTTCCCTGGTCTTAAGACACTGTTCATAATTTTAATGTGTGTTGTATGGAGGCCACAGATCTCACTCTGCTGGGTGTATCTCCGAGGACTTAGGCTCCCTGATAGAGAGTAGTTAATGTTTTCTTAATATAATTCTGGTTTTTCACTTCCCAGTAATATGAAATTTTTTATGAATAAATCACCCTCTGATTGTTTTAACTTTAGTAGTAAAATCAATAACAACAAGGTTTCAATTTACTACTGGTGACAGTTCTTTGGTACTGTCATATAGGTTCAGAGCATTTCATGCACGCCTTTTCTGCTTGCTTTTGGGACCCATTATTTCTGAATTCCTAACCTGCAGCTCATCTATCTTAGTAAACTATAGGCCACTGGCAATTTTTGTAAGCAGTGACTAACTTTGCTTTATAGGGTCAATGTTTTAAGATTTTGAATGGTGGGGGATGGGACAATGATAACCTTTGCTTTTGCTTTTCCTATTCACCTTCAGCGAGTTTTTCCCCCCATTTATTTTCTCTATAGGCAGCAGCAATATTTAATTCAGCCTTTGGAAGTTTTCTGGTAAGTAAACATGGTTTAACTTGTCTATTATAACTTTTGTTGTGATATTATTTGTATGAAAGATTTAGTGAAATTGGCTTCTTTTACTGTATAGTTATATATAAAAGTGTTTTAATTTTTTTATGCTCCATTATTCGTAACCGGGAGAAAATTAGTTAATAAAGAAAAATTTATCTTACAATATAATTGGGGACTTGGGTTTAATATTCCATTTAATGGATTCATGGAATCAATTAAAACACTATGTGTCTCCTGATAGAGGTTATGTCAATATATTGATCATTTAATGAGGTCTTTTAGATTATTATTATTTTGTATCATGGGACTGAGGATTTTGAAAAGGAAACATGACCCAGCTGGTCAGAAAGGGAATGCTAATTTACTTGTTGACATGTCATTTATTTTGTACATTTCATTGTCAAAGAAGCTACTATCTTGGTTTCTTCTGAGAAATCTATGTGAAAAAAGTTGAAATGGGGAAATTAATGAGTAATTTGCAAGAAAATGCAATATTTTTTGACAGGCAGACTATAAATTCTATGTAAAAATAGTTCAGCTTTCATAAGTAGAACCAATATAATGTTAAGGACAATACTATTTTATCATTTTTAATCATTTTTAAATAGACGAGGTAATAAAGACTTGTTATGAAAGAATGAGAAAGAAGCTAAATTTTCTGTTAATTGAATATTTTTACTTATACCTTCCCTAAAACTATGCTGAATTCATGGAAATAAATTAGAAACTTTCTTTTTAGGTACATAACTTATTAGCAGATATGTAGTACAAATAATTGAGACTAGAATCAGTGGGGTGTAAACTGGTTCATGAGTCTAGGCAAAATATCAATTGCTTCTGTATAAAATGTTCTTGACTTATTGTATGTATTTAAATGGAGAGAAAGCTTTTAAACATGTGATATGTTTAATTGTGTTAATTCTATATACTTCTATACTGATTTTAATGTTTCAGTGTTACCGAGCTTTTACTTAGGTAGCTTCTGCAAAATAAGTTTAAAATATATCTTATTTTTAAAGAAGTAGTAATGTTTTTCCCAAAGCTGTATTATTATTGGGGTTTAGAAGAGAGATAATAGTGTCTATTTAATGAAAACAATCTCGCGAACTACTTATTTTAGACGCAATAATATTTTAAGTCATTATTGCATGTGTGCAAGTATTACTTTCTATATGTTTTCACATTGACACAATAATATGTTAAAAATGATCTTGCTAGAAGCCAATTTTCATTATATGGTTTGGAATCATATACATTCACTATGGAAACATGGTTTCCTAAGCTGGATCTCTTACTCTGTCAGATGTCTAAGGTAATTAAGAAAGTGAGGTTAAGGCAATTGTCTGAGTAACTGAAGCAAAGTACGCTGTCCTTTATTTGGAAAACAAGCTCAGTTCGGTATAGGTTAAGCTTTGCACTGCCCGTGTACGCAGCAAACAGTTCATGGTGTTTGTTCTACAGGCCCAATTCTTTGGTAAGGTCCAGTGAAGGCAAACTTGCCCTGGGGGATCTTCAGCATTTTTGTTATGCTTTCTTACTTCTAAGAGTTTGTACATTCTCACTCCTTAGTCTTGTGCTCTTTTTTCTCTCTTCGTCTTCCATCTCACCTTAACGTGACTAATCAATCAAAAGTACTTATTGAGGTGCTGCCACACAGGTAGCTTTCTGGTAGCTGTAAGGGTGCAAAGAAATATGATGCAGGTCGTTGTGAAGATGACACATAGACAAAGAAATACAGTGTAAAAGTTAAGAAGTCAAACAAAAGATGTTGCTGTATGTTATATAGCTGTCAGATGGCATAGGGAGTATGCACTCTGAATTCAAAGGTCCGATGGAAACAGTTTCGCTGAGCTGGGCCTCGAAGAATGGTAGGACCTAGCTCTGGAGAAGAGAGGAGAGGACGCACAGAGCAGTGGCAGAGGCAGAATGTGTTTTTTTCCATTTTCTTCCCGCTTCATTTCCCTCCTTTTCCTTTCCCAAAGTTGAAAGGTACAAGAAAGGGGTTGAGAATGAAAATTATGGTTTGGAGATGTGTTTGCTCAAATATTATAAAAGAAATAATTTATTTTTTCACCTTTTCCATCATAGTTACAATAAACCTTGGAATATAAAATATGTATGAGTCTGAACTAAATCAATTCGAATTGGATTCAGCTTATTTAACAAAAAAATAACAGCAGCTTGTACAAGATAAAGGCTTATTTCTCTATTAGGTAACATCTGGAGGGAGGCTGTCCACGTATGACAAACAGGCTTCATGGTCTCCTTGTGGACCCAGACGCCCGTTTTCCTCCTCCACCCTCCACAGCATGCAGCTTCCTACCCCAGGGCTGCCTCGGGATCCAAGAGAGCTGCTGAAGCTCCAGCCAAAACGATACCTGGGGAGCCAGGCAAAGAGCTAAAAGCTACGACTGCTTTTTAAAAACAGCATTCCTAGAATTTCAGCACCATTCTTGCAGTAATAGTTTATTGCAGAACTTAGTCATATGATTCTACCTAGCCACTGGAGGGGTTGGGATATGTGGCAATTTGCTGAGAGTTAACATTTGGATTTCTGTTCCTAAGGCAGCCAGCACTTTGAACACTATACAGCAGTTGTCAGGAGAGAAGTTGTTGCTTGACTTGGGCTTGGAAAAGGACTTATTTGAACTCCAAATTATAACCTTCATGTTTTGTTATAATTTTCTTATTCTTAAAAGGGTGGTGGTACATGTTAGAATTTGGAGTTTTCTTTATAAATAGAACATATCTACCTATTCTTAAAATTTAGTATTATGGGTGGTAGTATGCTTTCTGGAGTCAGACTTATCTGAGTTTTAATCCTTATTTGACTGAATACCAACCAGCCTAACCATATAACCTTCCCTCTCTGTAAAATGGGATAATGATAGAACCTAAACTGTGCAGTTGTGGTGAGGATTAAATGGGGTAAGATGCTTGTGTGATGTGGTAGAAATAACTAACCTAGGTTTTATTCAAACTCTGCCATGATTTTGTGTGTGTGTGGCCATGGACATTCATATAATGAAGAAATTGGTTATCTCTGACTTCACTCCTATGAGTGCTAAAATAGGCTGATCCAATTATTACTGTCTGGTTATGAGTGACCATTTCTTTTGTATTTACATAATGGAATCTGAAAAGAGTACTTACTTCAGATTACATTAAAACTTTGAATGAAAGGCTTTTATTAGAAGAATTTTTGAAGAAAAAACTCGGAGGGCATTCTTGTTGATTTTCAGACATCTGGGTATACCAAATAAAATATTGTACATATTTATAGCTAGTTTAATAATGTCCCAGGTCTAATTAAAACACAGTGTTTTAAAGAACTAATTGTTACAGAAAACTGTTTTTTTTTAAATGTAGCTAGGCTGGTAATAACCAATGATAGATGAATTTAATTTACATAAATTTCAGACCAAGAGAATATTTTAAAATCATGCCACAGAGGATTGCTTTAAGTTAAAAAGTTAATGTCATTATCTCCTCCTCTTATTTAAATTGTTTGGTTTACAATAATTGTGGAGCATAATAAGTGTTTTGAGATTTCCCTTCATGGGATTTTAATAGAATTTGGTAGTCAGCCACCCTGAATAACTATAGTGTTATCAAAATTATATACATATTTTCTATGTAAAACCATCTACTTCAAGTTCAAACACCTGTGTTCCTTCTTCATCAAAAGGAAGATTTAAAAAAATAGGTATTAGCCACTTTTTGAAAAATTTCAGCTAAAAAATTCTTTCTTTAATTTAAAAAGATTCAACTGTGTTGAAAATAACTTTGGTCACATGATTTGTTAGACTTTTAGCATTTTGTCTGGAGGCTGAATTTGGTGTTTCCGTGTCTTCAAGAATTACACCTTAAAATTTAAAAGGAAAAGGCAGAACTACTTCTTTTTAGACTCCTTTTTAGCCTAGTTTATTGTTTTTGGTAACTCCTGACCTTAGAGGAAAACCTTAGCAATTCATGGCAACAGAAATGTAAGGATTTTGGAAACAGCTGCAGTTATAAACAAAGTCATCTTAATGAATACAACAACACTTAGCCTAAACGATCTTTGAGTCACTGTTTGCTTTCTAAATCTCTTCATTTAAAGTATTAAGAAATGGTTTTCTTTTTTTTCTTTTTTTTACATAAATCTTCTCGAAATAGGCATTGCTGCTATTCTAAGATGACTAATTTTGTTTCTTTTCATGTGAGACCAAGTGTGAAAGGGACTCCTTGTGTTGAGTTGAAGAACTAGCCAGCACATATTTTCATTCCCTCGCCTAGTTGTTCTGTCTTTCCTCTTTGCTGTGGCTGGGCCACCATTATCACCCAGCTTTGTAGAAAGATTTGAATAGTTAACTTAGGCTATTATAGTTGCCAAAAGAAAGAAATCTCAAACACAAATGGCATGTTTTAAGAACTTGGGATGTATGTTTAGTAACTTCTTTTATTCTTCCTTTCTTGTACAAAAATATACTCAGCCACATGTAGCACGGTCAGAGAAGAAGCACATCAGCTTTGTTACTCATTGATGGCTGGGCAGCACTGCTTTTAAAATATCAGAGCAAGATCTCAAATATTAGCATAGAAGGTTAAGGATGCTACCAGGTATGACTCGATGGTTAATTTGATTTTCCTGTAACCTAAATCTAGGATATCCATTTTTAATTTATGTTTATAGAATACCCATTTTGTGCAATACTGAAAACTATGCTGATATTTTCCCTTAATTTACTCAAAATCTTAACCAACCCAAGTTATTCAGTTGAAAGATCTTGGTTTTCCCCCAAAAGTTCATGACCTGTTTATAAAACAGCCTTTTATTTTCATTGCCAGAACAAACAACTGAATTATTCAGCAGTGTTCAGTACCACCTTATAGGATGTTATCTTAAGTTCATCCTTTTTACTGTTAAGGACTTGATAAAACCAGGATTTAAAATAACCATATCTTACCCTAAGTTCAAACGATGGGGAGCTGGTTTCCAT